CTAGCTTTGCTGTTTTAGTTCCCTGGTGGATTCACACGGGTGACACATGATCCATGATTGCTGCAGGAACTCGCACCTGCCTCGCCCACTGGCACCATTGCGGCCTGTCTAATGAATACGACGAATACTACTCTAGGTTTCAAGAACGAACGTTAGGGTCTGAATATCTATGGGTTGTATGCATATGTCTCGACGGCAGAGAGTTGTCATTTTCCCTGCACCTGTCTCCCTATCCCTGCATCGAAATTATAACATATTTTGGAGCTATTTCCTGGAACTTTACCATCCCTCCTAAGTTGCTAGGAATTAACTGGAAAAGAGCTTCTCTGTACCTACAGAGAAAGAGCAAATAGATATAAGGCAACCAGAGCCATAAATCGAGATCTGCACCGTTGTTGTTAGATGTATGCCCAGAGATAAAAGAGCGAAAAGCAGATGCTAACTGGAATGTGGAGCGGGTGCGAGAGGCCGATGGTATTCCGAGCTGTACTCCGTAGGGAGGTAGAGTGGTAAAGAGATCCGGGGCATAGGGGCGGAGACAATTGAAATGACCGTAGGGCAAGTAGGATATTCTGTAAATTTCACTTTTAGTTTACAATCTCGCATTCTCGCCTTGTTTTTGTTCTCTAAACATAGCATGTGCCACATGTCTCTCCTTGGAGAGCTTGCGGCAGCTGAGACCCTAGAAATGGCAACATCTCACTTCCACGTTACTTTGTCCGTCGTTCCGGTATGCCGTTTACAAAGCTTCTGCCCTCGCTGCCCGTCCCTTCCCGCAGTTCTCGCAGCCCTTCTGCCCCAGTCGTCATTTTTTTTATCCAGCTGTCTCTGCTCCTATTGCACCGCTGGATGCGAGCCTCCTTTTTTGCTAGATCTTACAGGCAGTACTCCGCAGACGAATAAGTTGAGGTGCCCGGCGGCCCAAAACAGAACATGCGACAGGGAACTTGTTTTGAATCTGCTTTCCCGTTTGGGTAATGCACGGGATGTCCGAGAAAAACAAGAGAAACATAATTGTCCAAATTGATCTGTTTCTTTTCTTTCTCTTTCTCTTTCTCTTTTCTCTTTTCTCCCCTCTCCCTTTTTGATCCCGTGCCTGCTTTAAAGAGCTTAGGCGGAAAGACTCGACGTCGTTGATTCAGACGGTGTGCTTCCCCAGCAGAGACAAACAGGACGCTGTGTGTTTTCCCACGCGAGGTGCATCTGAATCTTGATTCGACGTTGCCACTTCTTCCGCCCTTTCTTTATTTTATCTGCCCGCAGGCTGTGTTTTAAGACCTAGTCATACTGCAGAGACAGGGTTCACCTTCGGAAGAAAGGGTGCGTAGGCAAGTGGGTACTCTACATAGTTTTGTCCTGGTTGACATTCACTTTCGCGTTGATTCTTTTCTTTTCTTTTCTTTTCAATTTTTTTTTTAAAAAAAATGGACAGAGACAAAAACGGCGGACAAGGGCAACTGCAAGATCTGCTTCAAAGGGGCACACCATACTACACGATCTGGAATTCCGAGGTTGCGTTGCGTACCCCTGTGACTTTTTGTTTCGTTTTCGTTACATTTAATTGTGGCTGTTCGTTTGCCATTGCCGTTCTTGGCAAAGCTGGCTTTGGTGGGCTTGGCGGCTTTGTTGATATGTTTTTTTTTTATTCTTAACCCCGTTCCTCCATATATAATCTATAGAAATATCTTACCATAACCAGCTCACGATATCTGCGAAGACTTGTAATGAAAGCATAGATTTACCTTTGGCACAGATGAGTCTGTATTAACGTTAAGACACAATTTTGGGCATTTACTTTTATTTTTCTGGCATTAATTGCCCCGCCCGCCTTTTTTCTCTTCTATTTCTTTTCTCTTCTTCTTCTTTTTTCCCTTCTTCTTTTTCTTTTTTTTTCTTTATTTTTGTTGTTGAAATGAAAACATGGTCAATGAGGAAATCCATTGCCCCCACACAACGAAATGGACTGATCTCTAATTCGTACCTAAAGAAGTCTATTATCTTCACTCGTTTGGCGTAAGGCCCGAAAAACATCAGCACAAGATGCGTTTGGCACTTTCTCCCCGACTTTTCCGACAAACGGCTTGTTTCTTAAGACGGAAAACGTCTACGCCGATCCCCTAAGCTACGTCGTGTATGGCGCAGTGCCGTGCTTCGACGCGTAGTTGTATGTAAATTGCCCAAGAAAATGCTAGCTTTCTTTCGATATATTCTGGCTTTCTTGGGATAACAGCCATTACTGCTTGTCGAAGATGATCAGTTGGTCACTCCGCCGCGCTATCCTTTTCTTTTTTCTTAACCTCGATGAGGATACATATAGTTTAGGACTGAAGAAACCCGAGATCAAAAATTAAAAAGGCCACAAAATGCCAATATAAAAACCTCGCAAATAATTTCCCCTTTTCTGGGAGCGATGATACTAATGCTTTAGGCTTCTCAAATGACAATTCGTTCTCAGGTATTCGCCCCCCGGATCATACTGAGCAAGCGGTGAAGAAAGCGAAGAAGAATAAAAATAGTAATAAAAATAAAAATATTTTCGATGAACGGCATCTACAAACGGCCGCATACGTCAACCCACAGAACCGAGTTGATGCATGTAGGCGACCCTACAGTACTGCCTCCTCGTCTTTCCTGTCGACTGGCTGTGTGAAGTCACACTACATCTGGAGGCTCGCTTCGGGCGGCTCGCTGGTGGTCCGTACACGCCTGTAAATGTCACGCGGCGAGCATTTCCAAGCAGGGATACCCTTGCTTGGGCTTGCTGGTACGCCCCTTGTCTCTTTATATTTACTTTACATCTCTTATTTTCTTGCTTGTCCTACGACGTGATCTATTTGTATATATTGTAGTCGTTTGGCTGCCTCTCGGCCGTTAATATGCGTATTTTGCTTTGTTCACTTCCATGATGACCCCCTTATGACCCTCTTCGCGCCTGGTCTGTCTACTTTTGCGGGCATTGTATGCACGCCACGCCAAGAGGCGGTTTTGTGCTTCCTGCTTTTTCGCTTAATCAACGAAATTGCGCATCAGTAAACGACCTTTCTGGCATTTTGGGCGTCATGAAGGTTGTATCTTGCTCGCAATCTGCATGATCTCCTCCTACTCGAAGCAATGTTTTTGTATGTCTTTGTGGGTGTTCATGTCCTGTCTCAGTGGCCCGGAAGTGTTGTATCACAACTAAGAATGTACTTTTGCCCCGTAACTTCTCTTAATTTCTCGTTATCGCTAGAGTTCTACGTACATAATTTGGCATACAAGCGAGGGACTGCTACCGGATCTACATGGTCGTATGAAGTAACCTTGTTCGGAGTACTTGCGGGGATGTTTTTTGTTTTGCAGCGACTCCCGCCAAGCTCACGTACTGTGATGTTCACCCTTTAGCCCTTTATTTTGTGACTATCGCTCGCGATAGATGACATTCCCCTCCTTTCCGAGACTGGCCATGTATTGTTTCGTTGTTATTCCGTGGTATGGTGGTCTGAAACTCATATAACGTTGAATGCCTCTACTTTAACATGTGCCTGCTTCTATGCTATAGTTTACGCGCTCGTTTAAACGGTATATTTTATTTTAATTTTTAAAATACGACAGGTGCCGCTTTTCAGCCATATCCCTGCCCTGTCACGTTGTTCCTGGTCCGAACGTAGGAATTTGGCTGGACAAAGACATCGACGGACCGTGGCCGCAAATAGTCACAATTGTCAAACATTACTAAATACAAAACAGCACCAAATAAGCACCATCGTGGTTGCGCTTCCTTGATGGCGTCTTTTATTCCCCCAAGGCAAGACATTGCTCAGGACGAAAACGAGGAAATGAGAGACATAGTGCTTGAGCCGCGACAGGTTGAATCAGACAGCAAAATAGTAAGACAAAGCCACTTTACCAGGTACGGACCACATCGTCTCATAATGGGTAAGATTGGGTGAGCACTCTGATGTCGGGCCACACTTCACGGAAAACACAAAGAAGTGTTTGAGTCCTATTCGAAAGAATGTGATAGGTGTGTGTGGAATGCGCCGTTCCTTTTTTTTTTTTTTTTTTTTTTGGAGTAGATTTGGAGGCTACATCTCGGCCTTGACGATGCTGTGTCTTGGTCTCTTTATGTTTCCCATGTATCCGTTCCTTGTTTTATTCGCTAACGCATCATATTTTCATTTTGTTATTTCTTTTTTTTTAATGCCCCTTACCATGTATTCTTCGCTGGCGAACTTCCGACCTTCGGTTCTTACAAGTTCGCAATTAAACAATGATCATGGGAAGGGCGCCATAGTCTTACGTCCGTTCCTTCTCCCCTTGACATGCATTCTTTCCCCCATGCCTCTCGATATTCATCCGCTCGCCTGATGCCGGATAACCCTGGTCAGTTGCACTGCATTGTGTGAGTGCCCTGTTGTCTTGCGATTAGAGACGACAACGAAGAAAGAAGAATGAAACATGAGAACGAGAGTTTGGATTGATCACACAATATTCTTGCATATACATGTCGTACCATCGCTGCGCACGCATTGCGGCTAACCGTCTAGCCCAGCTCAGCGATAATGCGGGCGTCCTTTAGTCATCGGCAAAAGCATAATAGAGTGGCTGAAAAGCTGGTTTGAGACCCATCGCTGTTCTGTTGATCTTCGACTGGTGCTGCTCCGTGTCCAGCTAACTTCGCACAGCAGGACGTTGGCATTTTGCCTTTGCCTCGGTCTTCTGTCCCCTTCGTACTGCTCCGTTTCCGGGGTTTCTTTAATTTCATTACCATCAAAACACCTAACTTATTTGCTGATGGGTGTGTTGGACCTGCTTTACGGTGAATGCCGTTCAGTATTCATTTATGGTCTGCATATGCATGGTACCGAAGCATGTCGTCGTTGGTATCCGTGTCTTGTCTCTTGCTAATTCTCGCCGTTGAATTTGCACCTGCAGGCCCCTATCGCCTCCCTTGCGTACCTAGCCCCAAATTCGCCGCCGGGCGTCCAGTCCAAGATCCAGGAGATGTAGCAGATTTACCTTCATTGGGCTTTCCCCTGCTGTTGAGGGATGGCCATGCAGCCCCACTGATTGACCTCCGCCCCGGCATCTGTTCCACCGATCAAAGCTTTTTCTCCTTTGTGGAAACAGGCCGGTCCTTGCCCGCCACGAGAAATACATCGTAGCACCTCACGGAACGAGACACTGTCGTTGTGCAGGGCCACTTCGCATGGGAGCTTCATAACGTCTTTTGTGTCTGGTTTCTTAGACATGGCGTGTCATTGGCGCACCCGGCTCAAATTCTCGGTCTGCTCTAGTCGTTCTACGGACGCCTTTGTCCACTCCTTTTCACCAGGGCCCCCTTCTTGCACACCTTCTCCAGCTTAGTCCACACAAAAAATATGCTGGCTTGGTTATTCTGTATGTGAACTGAGCTGTCTGCGAGATGCGGCCGCGTTGGTTTGTCTGTGCGCTCCCGCGGCTCAGTGTCTCAATTGGCTGGCTCCTTCTTGCCAGCAGCTGTGAAGACAGGCATCGGAATGGCACTAAGGGGGCCTTCAGAGCTCCAACACCCTGCCATTTTTTCTCAACTCACCGAAATACGTTGTCATTACTTTTGTACGATTTACATTTGTGCAACATACTCATAGGGTCTATTTCTAGGGAGCTGTCCCGCTGCTTGTTGCTTGGTTGTTTACCGTCTACTCCGTATGCGATAACGCATTTTATGACAGCTTTTCCCTATTCACACCACACTCGCCATGTTTCTCTGTTTAGTTAGCCTTGCGCGAACGCCAATATTTTGTACCACCCCCTTCCCTTTTGAGAGCCTTTCCCCATTTTCTTTTCTCTGCCCCACCTCCACTACAATTCTATTGTTGTCCTTTGTACTTTTTGCCCGTTTATCCACCACTTAGGTTCCCTGTTAGCTGTCAATATTTCATTATTGCCGCTTATTGAGTCCAACAACATGCTGATAAGGCGCGGGCCCTGCCGTGGAAATCGGCCGGCCGATTGAAAAGAACGATCAGACCGAAATTTTGCAGCGAGGAAACAGATGAGCTACCACTAATTTTATTGCCGGACTCCAAAAAGGCGGCGTAAGGAAGGTTCTACTATGCACGGAGGCAAAGCGGTGCAGTGCTACGCAACGCCTGCTTCTGTTGAGCCTGCCCCCTTGCACGACACCTATGCTCGACAAGAAATGGGACGTTTGGCGGTGCAATGCACGTGAAGAAGGAGACATCCAAATGCTATAATCTCCTTGCAGTGCGCAGGAATTATTACGACGTGCTTCGTACGAGGTAGAACACTGTACCAAAACAATAACAATACACACGAAACGCAGATTTGAGCACCCGCCTGCCACGAACCGGGACGGCTCTGTATTACAGGGCACAAACACGGCAAACATGGCATTCCCATAAAGTTGCTGCTGCTCACCGGGCCACGCCGGCCGTCAAGTCCTGAGCCAGATGGTCGCTCTGGGCTGACTGCGGCCACAATTTACCGCTTTCGCCCCTTGCAGCGCGGTATTAACACACAGAAACCGCGTCCTCGCGTCTACGATGGACTGACCCGCCTAGCGGCCAAGACGAACGAAAGGGGGAAAATCGATAAAAGACCAAAAGAAGAAGGAAACTCACAGGAGACCAGAAGCAGAGAGGGCGGGGAATACGAAGTCGAAAAAACCAGGAAGTGGCTACTGGGCCCCTGCGATCTTTGTGGACTGGTCCTCCCTCGCAGACAAAGGAACTCGCCATTCTCCCGGACTTGCTCGCCTTATGCGCTGCACTTGCATGGCCTCCATCGCTCGTCGCGCCAGCCCACACGCGCCTTCAATCCCGTGAAGCTCCAGGCAGCACGGAGGACGACCTGGTAATATAAGGAGATTGTTCTCTGTGCAGGCACAAGATATGCATTCCTGAGCTCCAGAAGGCCGGCCTGCTACCGGCCAATAGGATCGCCATGCGGTAGCCCGACGCCAACAAAAGAGCGATCGTTGAGCTATGGCCACCCTTGCCACCCCTCGCTGGCCGTCTCTGGCTCCCGTGAGCGACCGCTTGACCCACAGACGATGGAGCGCGCGGCGGACGGCGCGACGCTAGCTCATCCTGCTCGCGCGATTCCTGCTGAGCGAGAGAGAGTTACTGACAGCTGGAGACCGGGATGATAACCTTGTCTATGTACGGACAAGAGAGCGAGGTACGACGTAAGATACGCCCAGGCCTTGTTGTTTGTTTTGTTTTCCTTTTTTTTTTTTTTTTTTTTTTTTTTTTTTTTTTTTTTAATTTGTCATACGTGCACTCACCCTGCGCATTTTCCCTTGCTTCATTCCCCTTCCCAACCCCCTGAACTACTCTCTCTTGCTCAAACAGTTTTGCATCGACCAGTGGGTCTGTGTTGCTTGACATGCTTGGGACTAGTCGGCTGATCTGCGACTTTTTTTTACTTCTATGGCAGACCAAGACCACTAACGCATTGGAAAATTAGACATTTTTCGCATCGGTTGTGACTTTGCATATGCAGCAGATCCTGGCCTTCCAAGGTGTGCAGCCAGACAGGACCGTGCAAACATTTGAAGCTTATCACAAAACCAAACCAGTCGCTCGTTTAGGGCAGATCCTGTCATTTTTGTGCGGCTTGTGCCCAGTGCACAAATCGAATACAGAGCAGCTAGCACGCGAACCGTTTCTCACCGCAACAAGATGTGGATGTGAAGCGGCACCTCCAGCAACACGGGCGACGCGGACGACATGCACGTTGTGGCCTGATACCAAGCGAAAGTGCGTCTTTCGCGATATGGCTCACATTTGTGTGCACAAAATGCATGTCGTATGAACTGCCATAAATGTATTCTGACATGATATTCTTGCATCTTTTATTCGCATTACAAAGTGCCATACAAAACATACAAAATGCCATTCTCCACACAGCCGGCATTGCGAAATTCTGACGAACATTACTGACCGGGGGACAGGAGGACAATCCTGGTCGATGATCCGCAACTGACCCAGGTGATCCCCCCTCCTTGCCGTCGATCTGGAGTTCCATCTGAGCCGGAAGGGGAGATACGCTGTCGCATCAGTGACAGGCGTCACAGGAGTGTGCATACGGAAATGTGGGAAGAGGGAAACAGACAAGACGTAAGAGGGGAGTGGAGAGGCTGAGAGGTTATCAGAGGCGTACCTACCAGCTGCAGCGAGGGGGCCGGGAACGAAAATGGAGAAGAAGGAGAAACGGAAACGATGAAGAGGAAAAGAAAACAAGAACAAACGCACACAAACAACCGCATGAAAGTTGAGGAGGATGACCAAGAACGATACACGAAAAAGCTCGACGGTGCAGGGGTGGGCGACCTAACTTAAAGGGCGACGACTCGTACAAGGAAGCCCTGCCACCCCACTCAATCATCACGAATGGCCAATCAGCCCACGCCAATATACTTACACCTCCTCCAAAGTCCGGCTTTTGACTACACCCCTCCCCTACATGTGCACGGTAAACTGGTCTGGTGTACGGTGTCATACGTGCTCGTCTGTAGGCATGCGACAAATGGCATGGAAAGGGGGCTTCTTATTGTTTGCCCTTTTCACATAGCAGTGGCGTCCTCCTGACATCACACATTAAAGACGGAGTACGTATACGGTGAATGGTGAGGGATGTTCTTCTTCGTCTTCTCTTCTCTACTTTGCATTCTTGCGGCGCAGACTGTAGCAGTTTACCGGGTGCCTTGCTGATTTCTATTTTCTCCCTTCTGGCTTTCAGGGTATACGGACTCTGCGCATTTTATTGTCCAGATCGTAAGAGCAGGCAAGTCTGTCAATCACAACGGACCCTAGTACCTTAGGCCTGCCAAACGGTCGGCGCTCACACAGAAGCGACGGCCAACGAATTCGACACAGGCTACGCACGCAGTTGCAGCAAGGGCTACGGAAACCTGTCCGTCTGGTTGGCAGTCATACACTCCCGTGACTTTCTTTCCGTGTGGTCTGAAGTCCTTGTGGATCGAACACAAGAGTCTGAGACTGGCTTCCTTTCATATCCATGGCCATTGCTCTTCCGCACACACGCTAGATGGACACCTCCCCACGCTCCGCCTTCGTGTGCTGTCCTGTCTCCAGGCCTTTTTTGTGCGAGTATGTCCTGTGTCGTCGACTCGTATGTCCGTCTGCACTGTCATTTGTCGCCTTTACGCCCTTCTCGCTATGCCTACTTCGTCTGCCATCTCTCAGAGCCTTGCTACAAGCATTGTCTCTCATTAGCTAGACTTGTCAAAAACCTTTTTCGGACCTTGCATGACCTCAACGGCTGACCCTTCTAAACAAAACAAAACAACACGTTGTAGGTAGCTGTGAGCCTACACAATATAATGGCGGTTTTTAAGGTTTTGAATGCCAATATGCCGCGTCTGTTGACAGCTTTCTTTCCATAACAGTCCTGTCCTTCCCCCTTTCTGCCATTTCTCGCTTCTGTTCAATAACCCTACCCCACCCCCTGTCATTTCCGTTGGGGCCTTTTGTTTCTATGCTACCTCAAAAGCTTCGGCAGGAGCTCTTGCGAAGGGATCGGAGCCGAGTGGAGTATTGCCCTCCCTTTGCAACAAGAAACAATGGCGAAAAACAAAACCTCAAGACGTCAAACGAAAAAGAGAACATCAGGCACAGAAGCAATCATCTCGGAAAGTTGAGCGAACAGAAAATAAAGTCGGTTTTCAAACAAAATTTTCCCGTCCACGATCGAAGACGCATGCTCTGTATCGGCCTCGTCCTCTTTTTTTTCTTTTCTTTGTTGGGGCAATCCTTCCCAGTCGAAATTCTCTAGTGATATGCGTGTTCTTCTCTGTGCATGGCTCGTGTTGTATTTTCTTCGACCTTTAGTTTTCCCAATCTCCTCTCTTTTCCATTTCCCACCTCTGTTAAGGATCTGCCACCCCGTCCCACCGAGCTGACTTGTTTCGTTTGTACACACTTATTTTGGCCTCTTTTTCTTGTGGTACCACGCTGTCCACAAGCATACATTTACTTCTCTCGTCCGTTCCTTATTCGCCACTCTCGTCTCGCACCGTCCAACACCTTTGCTCGGCCTTCCGCAAGTCACTGCACCTGGTTTATTTTTCTTCGTCCCATTTTATCTGACTGGGATACTTCCTTCTTAGTACTGTGAAGCTCTTTTTGTCTTCTTGTTCATGTGTCCATTTATTGCCATACCCCCCTCTCTACTGATTCCCTACATGATTCTACGCAACATACCTTGCATGTTCGTTTCTTTTCGATGCATGCACCCTGTCTCACATTATTTTCATATTTCTAGTCCATCCTCCCTGTAGTATTACCTTATTCCAGAGAGATACGCCAGTCTCGGTTGATCGATTTGTCCCCCAACTGCCTTTCCCCTGCATCGTCTAGCTTTCCCCACTCGATGTCCTAGGCTGGTTTCCTTGTCCGTCTCCACGGTTGTATGCCACAAGTAGCCGGCCCTAGCACTTGTGTGCATGCGTGTTTGTTTTGATCTACCCATCTTTTTGGGCCTCTTACTACCTACGAATACGACCTCCACCCTATCGTTCTCTTACCCCCTTCTATTCTTTCCTCCCCCCTCCTTTTATTATTATTCCTCTCGCGTTCTTTGTTTCAATCAAATTCCATATATGGATAGACAGCACAGACATTTTTCACCCCTTTCTTGTCAATGCATTCTTGTTCACGACCTCGTGTCAATCAAGTTGCCATCACTCAGTTAACAAAAACATCCCCCTCGTTAGCTTTTAAACATCGCGCCGTTTTGACTCTCATCATCCGCCGCTCAGTCCACTCGCTCATCCATCGAACAGCTTCACATTTAATGCCTTGGTTTCCGGTTCGAATATCACGGGCATTTAGCGCATCTTTTTAACCACGCGGTCCTCCTCCACTTGTCAACGGCCTTCCATCATCTCTACGACATAGGATCCGGGAGCAGCCTTGGATTACACCACAGACGCGAGGAGATCGTCTCTCATTTTATTCATTTTTATTTTAGTTTTATGCCCTTTTTTATGTTGGTGTATAAACTACCAAGTGTTCAAATGCGGCCTTGAACAACAGTAAGCATCTCCGTCCCTCCCCCAACCCATTTTGGGACGTCGTCCTCTGTTTGAACCCGCCATGTTGTGACAAGGAGCACAAATAAAAAAGGGGGTACAGTCATGGCGACAATATCAACAAGAAGAAAGCAAGCTACGCAAAGCGAGCGAATATTCGTAAGACTGCTGCAATGCGCACTGCTACCTCAAGCCTTTCCCTACGTTCAACCGCAGGGCGGCAGGCTAATTCTTGTCGACCACCCCCTGCCAGTTCTTGATTTACATTCCCTTTCTTGCTCGCTTGCACTCCTACCTCGAGTTTGTTGTCCACGGCGCACGACGTACACCGTTTCCGTCGACTGTCGCAGTCCTGCCATTACTGTGGCCTACCAGTCCCTACACTCCTCGCCACCAGAACGACATATATGTAGGATTCACCGCAAATTTGCATCCTCGCCTTTTCCATCTTTTGCTTCCGGCGAGACACTGCCATCCTAGTCTACATTCCAGTGTTTCTAGCACAGAAAAGCAGGTGTATTGGTCGCCCATTCCTCTCATCCTGGCCAGTACCACCCTGAACCGTTTGGCAACCGTCTTTCAACTTTGTCAACCGGTGGCTTTTGCTTTGCAGCCATTGTCTTCCAACTCTTGTCTACTTTTCTTGGTATGTGCTCTTCGCGTCGGTGTCTGTCCCAGGCAACGGTGACGACCGCAACAGCCTACGAATTCTCGTTATCTTTGTATATTCCTTCCTAGGTCTTATTTTGCACTGCTTTGCCACTTCCCGTCTCTCACCTTTCCCCTCCTTCCCACTACTTCCCCGTGCGTTTGTTTTCGTTTCGTGGGAACCAGGTCAGTCACGACACCGTCAAACACCGAGTTGCCACTTTTTAGACTTACACAAATCTTTTAGGAGACGAACCCCAGGCGCTGGAGGCCGGTTCTTCCCACTCGCTCCCTTCTTTTCTTCCATCCACACCTCCTGAATCCGTGCTCTATTTTTACCATTCCTCTCTATCCGTGAGCTAGACATTTGTGCTTTTTCCTTTACTTTCTTTTTCCTTTTTTGAAAAAAAAAACCACCCCCTCCCCTTCTCGATTTCTTTTTCTACCTCCTACCTCCCATACTTTCCCTTTTATCTTTCTTGGCCTCCCTCCTTCCTTTCTCTTTCGATATTTGTCTTTATGTCGACCATCCAATATCAACAGCCTCTCTACCGAATCTTTGAAGTACGTGAAGGAGTGAAAACATTACAGCTACGAATTATCATTATACAGCTATACTCTATTTCGATACAGGACACCGATGGATGCGCCTCTTGACTTATGGAGCTTCCTCTATATGATTCTGTTTACTAACATATTCATAGGCTCCCGCCGATTCCAAAAGACCTACCATCGTCGACGACAGGGTTGGATCACCAAGCACAGTCGCCCTCAGATACGAAGAAGAACAACTACGACTGAACGGAGGAGATCATCGAAGCGATTCCCCAACCAATCTCTTGCCAATGGCGGCCTACAAGACCCAGCCTGCCCAGTTGCATGGTGAGTGCATACCCATGTACACCTTAAAGCACACTTTTGAACTTATGGTTTTCCCCCTAAAAGAATGGGGCAACTGTATGTCATAGCTAACGAATATTGCACCCAAATCTAGGCTTTCCTGATGCTTCGTATCCATCGTTCAACACTCAGCCATTCCAGACGCAGCAGCCAGAAAACGGGACGTCGCAACTAGGGGACATTGCGTACAATGGAGGAGCACCGACGAACCAGTATATGAGTCCTACTAGCTCGCCATCCACGTCCCCGGTGAACATCATTTCTTGCGGGCCTACTGCAGGCACAGCAGGCACTCGAGTTGAACTCAAAGTGGACAGCCAGTACGATCTGATGGCCATGTCCACACCAGCTCCTTACGTTTGGCTGTCTTTTGGTTCTCACAAATGCCACGCCAATGTTGTCAAAGAGGCAGTTTCTCAAGGCGGCCTCACGTACCTTGTCTCGGCTGAGGCTCCCCAGTTTATTGTGACAAACTGTGCTTCACCTGCAGATGTTCCCTTGACAGTTGTCATCGAGAATACCACAGGCGAAGAACTGGCACGCGTGCCTGTTGCCCGCTCATTTACTTACCATGACGTTCCCAGCCAAGTAGGAACATCTGCACCTGCACATTCCATGGAAGGCACAACGGCTGACTCTGGCGTACCATCCGCCCCTGACGGCATGACACGAAAGTCATCACCCCAGTCACCTGGCCATGTCGACGGACACTCTGAGAGCCCACCACAACTGACTATGGACACCGCGACAACGAACAGCCCCAGCCAAGCACAGAACCAGCTGCCAGTCGACTCCAATACAAATACGTTCTCATACCCCACCAGTGGAGTCGACACATCTGCTGCCGCAGTCGCCGCCGCACAACAGGCACAACAAGTCCAGAACAACTTCGTCGCAGCTGCTGCTGCCGCCGCATCTTCTTACAACCAGGATAACAGCAACATGCTTGGTGGATACCGGAGTGCGTCCTTTTCGGACGTATTCCCCCGTGGTACAGCACCCCAGCCTGTGCGTGCTACTGGTGGTGCCACAGCCTGGACGACGCCTGCATACGGGGGCTTGAATCATCATCAGCCTAGCCATCACACTCACAGCTCCCATGATCGGTACAATATGGGCCGCAGCCACTCGATGGCCCATGTTCACGGTGCACGGCAGCCACTGTCCGCCCCTCTCCCCGCACCCGCCCACGGAGGTGCCCCGCAGCTGATCCGCACAAGCACCATTCAGTCCACTCCTTCCGGGTCGGTTGGCGGCCTGGGAACAGGCGGCACGTATGGCGGAGGCCACTGGGGTGGCTACCCTGCGAAGGCTGTTCTCTCCATTATGGGTAACCTGGATTCGATGGCGCAGGACTGGACACCTGAAGAATGGAGCAACCAGCGCCGTATTGTCCTTTTCCGCAAGAAGCAGAACGGCTGCCACCTGGAAGCAACATTCCGCCCGGTCCCCATTAATGAACGGCCGCCTAGCAGTATTTGCATCAGCTGCATCTACTGGGCAGAGAAGCAGGAGTGCTTTGTCACCTCCGTGGACACAATCAACCTTCTGGAGCAGCTTGTGGCCGCGCCTGCCCGCTTCTCAGTCGAAGAGAAGAACCGCATTCGTCGCAACCTTGAGGGGTTCAAGCCCTTCACTGTCAGCAAGGCCAAGGCCGAGAGCGAGGAGTTTTTTAAGCTGATTATGGCCTTTGGTGCACCGAAGCCCCGGACCATCGAGAAAGACGTGAAGGTATTCCCTTGGAAAATCCTTGGCCAGGCTCTGAAAAAGATCATCTCCAAGTACAGCGCCAGCCCGTCGTCTGTCCTGCCGCCCGCGTCGTCAGGCACTTCAGGACAAGGCCACCACATGTTGACTCCTGTCACGATGAGCCCGTCTTACCCGGTGCTGCCCCCAACACCTGGCTCACTCTCTGCCGCAACAGATGGCACGTCTGCTGTTGGCTATGTCAACATAGTGAACGGAACAAACGGCGCGGACTCACTTGCCAGCCCTCGGTCACTGTCTGGTGCGTCTTGGGTATCCTATGCCGGAAATGCGTCATCGGGACGTGCTTTGTCTCCTGGCTCCACAGCAGCGAAGCAACAATCGCCCACTTCCGCCAACATCCGCCTGGGCCTTCCTAGTGCATATGACGCTCGACACAGCGCCGGGGGCAGTACTTCGTCTGCACACTCATATGGGAACAGCCAGCAACACCAGGCGCAGAGCTTCAACTCGCCATTGTCTCTTCCAGCAGCCCCAGGTGCTACTGTACCAAGGGCTCCAGTTGCTACAGCGGGTGCTCTCTCTCATGGCCACCGCTGGGATGGCTACGGAATGCCGGGAAACAGCGCATCACCGACATACGGCACGAGCCACCACCAGCCGCAGCATCAGCAGGGTCACAACGGTCATCTGTACAGCACCGGATACGGTGATAATGTGCAGCGTTCCTAGACAGCTGCTACTGCAGATGAGCACTCTGTGGCGAAACGCGGTGGGAGATCCATGCAAGGGATGCGAGTTACGCCTATCGAAGGAAGCAGGTGGTACTTGCTGCTGTGGTGTGGTGACGACGGGCACTGGTGGTCCTTCGGGATTATGGTGCACAGCAATTGTCAGCAGTCGGCAGGGCAATACGAAGCAACCAAAGCGAGCAAACGAAGAGTCGATCGAACAGACTTTGGAATCAACAAATCAACAGACAGAGCGCAGGCACGTCATTTGAGACACGAGACGGATGGTCCGGGACGAATACACCGTTGGCAATACGTCAAAGAGATATACACAGGTCCCAAGTCGATATTGAGCGACAGTCCCGCACTGGCATTAAAAGAACTTGGCTTACTTTGTTCCGGTATCGACCATGTTGGCCAGCAGCCATCGACAAAGCCGAGCCCTTTGGTGGTCAAGTGGGACTGTATTCGACTTTCATCTCCGACAGACATGTTTATTTTGATGCGGTCCGCTCTGGGCTTCTACTTTAAACAAAGGTTACAGGATTTCCTCTCAGCCCATTCATTATCCTCAAAGTTGATATTTACGAAGTCGTCAATTCGATGAGGGTGCGCTGCGAGGCAGGGTGGGCATTGGTTGGTCAGGTGTACTTGATCTGGGCCAATCATACGACATGGCACACCACCCCATTCGATGCAAGTCTGTCTAGGCACAACCCGCCCGGCAATAGTGCTACGAACAGCGTCAAAGCCTTGCATGATTGTTCTGTCCCGATGCATTTGCGCCGAGCCTTCTACCCTCACCCCTCCTTCTTTTGATTTCCTTTCACCCACACCACCCTCTTTTCAGCGTGTTGCATCAGTCGTCTTGTGGTTCTCTGCTGCTTGTTTTCCCTTTCTGTTCAGTGTCTCTTTCGCTTTCTGGACTTGCTAGACACACCACCTCTTCTGTACGTTGCGATGCCCACGATCACGAGCGCTAGCAGAATGATTTGTTTAGGGCAGTGCAACGGCCCAGACCCTTTGTTTTCGGTTGCAGCCGGGTAGAAGCAGGATACGATGTGTCGTCATCGAATGCGCAGCACCCCCTCCACTGCAAAGCAACAAACGTTTGCCGTTGACGGTTCGGCTGATCGACAGTGCTTTCAAGAACCCCGGTCACAAATCCTGGTTTGCGCGCTCCCCGCGGCACCAAATCCTCACGGGACATGCATGCCCCTGCTTGGTCAATACTGCAGAGCTGGACAAAGGAGGACGAGAAAGCCTACCTGCAAGGCGGGAAGGACCGCGCGTGGCTATCATTGCTGCACTGGCTAGAGAGGCATTGCAACACGAAAGCCGCCCACCCAGGTCCTTTGGCCAACGTTTTCTTGTTGCATGTTGCATGGCTGAGACATCAACTGCCGGTCACAGGTCGGGGGTTTTCACCCACATGCTCAGTTTCTTTCGGCCTACGGTCGTAGTCGTACTCTACTTGCTTTTTCCTGTTGCAACTTTGACGCCCTCACATCCCAGCCTGATGTGTGTGTCCGTTCGTAAGTAGCACACCGGGTATGAAAGCGTGAATCAACTACTCGCTACTGTCGAGCATCATCACACTCGTCACTCGACTGTTGATTATCTCAGCGCATCTGTTTGTTTACCTTCCCCTTAATTTTTTTCCACGTGCGATTCGTTTTTCTTTTCCTTGATCTTTTTTTTTGTCAGCAGGCCCGCGGCCATGTATCAACTTTTATTTCTTTACTTGACTTCTGTCTCTGTCTTAATGTTGGATTTTATTTGCCCGATGCCCATTCTTATCCTTAATGCTTAGGTCTTTTTGCGCTTACTGCTGTATTTTTATGAGGCCGTTTATATCATAAATGGGTTTGTTCGAATTGCTCTTCTTTTGGTTTGTTTCTCAGGGATTTTAATTTTGGATCGGTAACTCTGGGTTGAATTGGTTTTTGGAAAGGACAGTCTTTGGGTCAAGGTTTTCAGAAGATATTATTCTTGGGCATGGGATTATACGACGCTGGGCATGTGGAATGATGGAATATCGTTGCTTTTGGGTAATTTTCTGACAGATATCTGCAATTCGCGTTTCTATTTTGTCTGTTACATACTTATTTGGCTAGTAAAGTATTATGAATATACCTTTGACACAAAGTGTACGGTATTCCCGGGAGCCAAAAAATTGGCGTAAAATATATAATGTGAACTGCAGGAACAATGTATGAGCCTTGCTGACCGTAGACGAGCATTTTGGACTCAAAAGCGCAGATTTGCAAAACACCAGCGATTCAGACTACGCGTCTTCATCGTCCAGATAGATAGAGGCCAACGGGCTGATCTTCATTCGCACGATGGGTCCTTGCCATTCGTGGGATACGTTTGTCACTTTGTGTAACACACGGTAAAGCAATATAACCAGCATATATAGGTGTTATTTGTACGACATGGTATAAGGACGGATGTACAACGGTTGTCGAGAAGATGTAATATATACAGGAGAAGTAAAAGTGCGTCGGTGAAATAAAAAAAATCAAAAAATCAAATATGTGAAGAGTAAGAAGTTAAAGTGACGGAGAGTAGAAGTGCACCGTTGGTGTGACGGTGTAATGAGAAATAGATGCCTTTCCACTGTTTAGCGGGACGAGTAGACGGCAACATAAGCAACCTCCATCAGTGCGCCGTAGCCGTCCTCCGTGCTTGAGTTGGGGCTGCCAGGCCAGTTACCACCGACGGCGACGTTGAGTATAAAGTACAGCGGGCTGTGGCAGAGTGCGTTCCAGCTGTTCTCGTCACCAAGCTCCGAGCCGCTGATGGAGTGGAAGGAGGCGCCGTCCAGGTACCAGGTAATGGTTTCGGTCTGCCAGTTGTTCGACGTGCGGTCAAACTGCACGCGCCACGTGTGCCAGCTCTGGTCCGGGATGCCCACCGACGAAGTCAGACCCGTGGGCTCGTTGCAGGCACCACCTTGCGAGACGTCGCAGTGGGCAGTGCCGTGGCCGATCAGCTGACCGTCGACGGTCTCGAGGGCATCGATCTCGCCGCACGCGGGCCATTGTGTACCATGGCGGATGCTGTCGCCGAGCATCCAGAACGCGGGCCACATGCCCTGCTTGGTGCTGGGGTCATCGTCGCCAAAGCGAATGTCGGCTTCGGCCAGTGTCTTAGCACCAGCAGCGGGCGTGAAAGTGTAGGTGCTCTCGATGCGGCCCGATGTCCACTGACCGCCGCTCTCCCAGGGGACAATCTGCAAGGTGTTGCCACCGGAGAGCTGCAGGTTGGCAGTGGAGTCGGTGTAGGTCTCAAGCTCGTTGTTGACGCCCAGATTGCCAGTGATGATGTTCCAGGTGCTGGTGCTGGGCAAGGTACCACTGTTGCCAGAAAACGTCTCCTGCCAGACCAGGTTGAAGCCCGAGTAGCTCGGGGCGTTCCAGGCCTGCGCCAAAAGAGGCAGGCAGACCAGGAGGGATGCAGTGTAGCCAGTTGAATGCATGATTCCAGTATCTACCCGGATACCATACGGATGGGACAGGAAACAAGTAGATGGAAGTTGGGGGAGTTCTGTGAATTTCACGGCCTGGTGAAAAGAGTGAATGGATATCGAAGATCAAGGAGTGAATGAAGAGAGTTCTGTGATAAAAGAAAAGGATAAAAGGAATGCAATGAGGCTATTCAACTTGGAACAAGCCCGTCCGGGGAATTTAAGGAGTGGCAGGTGCGATGAAAAGTCGCAAAAGAAAGTGTGTCGTCCAGGACAGTTGGTAACGGAAAGGGAAGCCGTCGGCCAAAGAGACAGCAGATTCCAAAACAAAGCACTTGACATCGAGGGCGAGACAATCGATTCTTATACAAATGGGCCACATGAAGGGAGTTAGGCGCCAGACCCGGGTCCCGGGGTCGACGATGTTCTCTCATGTGGACTTGTGTTCCAGACACAGTCTAGGCCATCCTGTACTTTTGTACAGGCCCGGAAAAGACAGTATACAAGAAAATAGAACAAAACAGCGACCAGTAGAACAAAGCAACGGAAATGACAGCAAAGCGTACATACCCCTGGTCACTCATCCGGACCAAGCCGCTCATGAGGCTGCGATGTTGTGTTGATTTCGGGGGTAGACGTCGAGAAGAGGTTCCCCCTGAAAGTGGTGACAGGGGCTCACAGGAAAGGGGAACAGACGGGATGAAAGACGCGGATCAAAAGAGGAAGAATGGTACAAAGGAAGATTACGCAGATTGCTGTGCGCTGGGTGTTCATCTGAAGAAAACAAAGGTCACTGGACAAAGAAGCATGCACACCACATTGCTGGATGATGGAGCAGTTCTTTGCCGGTGTTGTTTCAAAGAGCTTCGGGGAAGACTCCACTCGCGGCGAGGGTTGAGCATGTCCAATGGGATGTATGCTCCGTGAAGAGGCCGAGCGGCCATGCCTTACGAAGTAGAGGCGAGCAGGATGTAGAGATGAGATGGATGGGTTCGAAATGCAAGCCACTGGGAAGCGTCCGGAATGGAGACTGAAAACATCGTCAAGGGGCAGTTAGCGACGAGGAGGGCCGAGGATTAGGGAAAGAGCGGCCGACTGCAGCACAAAAAGTGTAGAACCCCCTTTTCGCAGACTTGGGCAAGAGCATGTACTTTTCAAATTAGGAGTCTGGATTGCTCTTTCCTTCAGAATGGCGCCCAACTCTGACCTTTCCGCCCACAAAGGGCAAGAGGGTCGGACAGGCGCCGGCACCAAGCCATGTTCGGGTGAGATTTGCAAATGCGGCCGTTCTTCGCCTTCACCTCTTCTGGTCATTGACACTCGCCAACTGTGCATCGCCAATTCACGATGGACTAGGCATACGATGAGCAGAAACACAATAGTAACGGCCCACGCACACGGCCATGCCAGCTGCTGGCCAACAAAGAGAGAATGTGGTGGCCTCGACGCAACGAGGCCCAAGGACAAGGACATATCCTGACAAAAAGAATCAGATCCAAAGGGAAACACATGGGATGAAAGCAGAAGCA